TGAAAATGGGAACAGCTCGGGACACTCGTGATGCCAAAGTGCGCAGGTGGGAGTCCAGATGAGAGGAGCTGGAGGACATGGTTCTAGGTATGAAACATCGAAATCTACTTACCAGAACGGACAGTGTGCTTGCCTGAAGACTTGACCTGGTAGTCCTCCAAACTGGGTCTTCGGTGTGAGGAAGCAAAAGTCCCCTCACTAAGGAAAGAACAATATTTAAGAACATTGCTGGTCGAGACACTAGAGGTACATAGATCATTAAAGTCCAAATTATTTCTCTTGACAGTTTGCATTTTAGAAACACAGAAGACGAAGTGGGAGGAGGGCTTAAAAGTGCTTGCTACTTGGAGACCCAAAACCCATCTGTAGACAATTGGACATCCCCCTACAGCAGGGTCACAAGGAAGAAAAGAGCCAGTAAGGGTGCAGTATAGCACTGGTGAAACAACAACTTTCCTCTAGTTCTTTAATGTTCCCCTCCCCCACTATCATGACCCCAATTCTACCTTACAAATCCAGCTAGACAGAGCATGTGCACAGGTACAGATAAGAGCTCAAAACACAGGGAATCCAGACAGATAACCCCCTCAGGGCCAATCATGAGAGTAGCTATACCAGGAGAGTAAGGAGAAAGTGCAGGGGAGAAAGAGGGAACAGACCACAATAATCTATATATAACCCCCTCCCTCGGGACGGACAACAGAAAAGTGGGTCAAAGGAGACATCAGTCAGTGTAAGACATGAAAAAATAATAATAATTTATAAATTATCAAGGGTTCGTGAGGGAGGGAAGGTGGGGACTTGAGGGGGGAAATGAGGAGCTGATACCAAGGGCTCAAGTAGAAAGCAAATAATTTGAGAATGATGATGGCAACAAATGTACAAATGTGCTTGACACAATGGATGCATGTATGTATTGTGATAAGAGCAGTATGAGCCCCCAATAAAATGATTCTTAAAAATGCTTGCTGCTTTATTCAGATAGTTTACTTTCATTAATGAAATTGTCTTACCTGTAAGAATTGAGCATAAAATAAAATTTTCACCACTTATATTTACAATACTCTTATTTTTTCCTTTCCATTCTAATATCAATTTTTACTCTTTTCAGTATTTATAAGAAGTTATTTTTAACACTGACTTTTTTTCATTCTAAGTAAAAAAGTTAAATGGAAATTCAAGCCATTTGATTAATGCTAAAAATGGTTAAAAAATAAATTTAAGAAGCAAGATAATTCCCTTTTGTGCAGACTATGATACTATTAGATATTACTAAAGCAATATTACCACACTCTTTGCAAGTATTAGTCCTTTTTAAGACTGGACTACTCTTGCAACTAAATAGTTACTCTCCCCTGGATGACCCTGGAGCTACCTATTTATTTCAGATCATAACGAGATCTCCATCATCATCTGAACTCAATCTCAGTATGCGATGTCCTGGGGTTCTGCCTGGCACATATCATGAAGTCTTCTTTGATGAAGTCCCTCCATCAGTCGTCCTGCTCCTTCTCGTCCGCTGACTGTAAACGCTTTATCAGCTGACTCCTTTCTGAAGAGTCAATGTCTTGGTTGCCCAGCCAGCACCATAACCTGCTTCAATTTGTACGTCTAGGCACTACCTCTCTTTCTAATACTTTGTTCCTAATTCTCTAAATCAAACCCAAACCCATTGCCACCTAGTTGATTCAAACTCATAGCAATCCTTGTTTTCGTGTAATATCAACTCAAACTGCCTCATAGGGTTTCCAAGGCTGTGAAGTTTTATGGAATCAAACGGCCATCCCGCCCCCTCTCCAGTAGAGAGGCTGGTGGTTCTTGACCGCTGCCCGTTTGGTAAGCAGCCAAGCACTTTGCCACTGTGCTGTCAGGGCTCCTCTCGTGCCTTTGAACTCTTTCTCAAGGTCATAGTACCTCTCCACTTTCCCCACTCTTGGTGGCCTCTGTCTACAAATAGTAAGGAGCACGGTGGGTTAAGTATTGGCCTGCTAGCGGAAAGGTCAACCATGTTCCGAAGATTTAAAACCTCAGAAACCCGGCGGGGCAGCTCTCCTCTGTATTTTAGGGGTGCTGTGAATCAGATGCAACTCAATGGAAGTGGGTTTGGTTGGAGGTTTTTGATCTACAAAGATTCCAGAGATCCCTTGGTTAAATTATGCAAAACTGGCTGCAAAGCTAAAGCCCCATTCATAGAAGATGTCTGTCTTGTGCAGATGACAGAATGCTCCGAACCGCTATTGTTTTCGCTGGAGCTTACCAAACTCACCTGTGATGAGTTGAAGTGAATCGGGATCTGGATTCAAGGAAGAGTTCCCAAGCAAAGAGTTCTGGTGCAGTGTCTCGGCAATATAATCTCTGAAGTTGCTAATTGTGTAAACAGCAGTGGGTTTATCATCCAATTCTGTAAGGCCATGGTTTTCCACTTTGTTGGAGTGAAGGCTAATTAGGTCCCAGCTAGTATTGCTGATGGCTTCACCATTGAAAGTAACTGCATAATGAACATCTACACCACTGTGGATGAGAAGAAAGAACAAATTAGGGAGGGCCTGCTCCAGTCCTTCTATTGTTGTTAGCTGCCTTCATGCATGAATTCTATAGGGGAACTACCACTTTCACCAAGCTTTGAACCCATGGAGAACCAACATGAGGCAGATGTGGGGAGAGGGTTCTCAAAAATGCACAGAACCCATCATCACTCTCTACAGACTCTGCACATCCATCCGTCATTCCTTCTTCCTTCGCAGGGAACAGTTCTAAGTAGAACAGTCATAGTTCAAAAAACTGAGAAAGTGTTATAAAAAATCTACAGAGACCATCCCCATGAAATTATCTGAGCAACTCCTCCTTCCACTGTCAGGGATTGAATTGTGTCCCTCTGCCCCCAAAATATGTGTCAACTTGGCTCAGGCTTGATTCCCAATATTACATGGTTTTCCTCCATGTGGGGAACTGAAATAATCATCTTCCATTTTATTTTATGTGTTATAAAACCTAATATCTATAGGTTAGCGAGGCAGCATCAGATTGGATTGCACCTCTTGTAAGCCTTACAAGAGGGTGTGACTCAGCCCACTCTTAGTCGAGTCACCACCCTTGCTCAAGTTGTCCCTTCTAAAGTCACACCTTCTATCTTATAAGAGATAAAAACAAAAAGACGCCAGCGGAGAAGAATGGCCTCGCGGCATACAAGAAAGGAGAGGCAGGAGCAGTACGCGGCCTTATGCCCTGGGGTCCCAGCGCTGAGACTATCCTAGATGCGGGAGAGGAATGATGCCAAAACACATGGACGTCTCCAAGGGACATCAGACCCACCGATGTTGAAAGACAACAAGGACCTTTTCCCAGAAACAACATAGAAAGAAAGTCCTCCCTTAGAGCGCACATTCTGAATTCCGACTCTCTCCTCGCCTGTGAGAGAATACAGTTCTGTCTGCTAAAGCCTTCCACTTAAGATATTTCTGTTACAGCAACACTAGATCACTGAGGTACCCAGATTTGTAACTCTTCTTTCCCCCTTCAAAATCCACTCCTCTCTCTTCACAACTGCTTGCTACTTTCACTATTTGCATTTTTCTCATTTTAAAAAGGCTCTATTAACCTTCTAACTTCTTCACAAAATAGAAAACCCTCATCTTTTTTATCATTGTCAGATTAATTATATAATTATGAAAATAAAGTAAAAGATTTTATGATTTTGTAAAGATACCAGGCAGAGTATTTTCTAACGTAACAGTTGTCTGGGACGCTCAGGGGATGCACTTTTGTTTTACAGGAATCGAGACCACTTCTAGTACTGTAAAATAGGGCAGTGGTGATTCCACGATAGAATTGTTGCCTTCCATGCAGGAGGCACATGACTGATAACCGGACAACCTACCTCAGTGGCGGTCACACTCACCCCTCCATTTCAGTGGCGACGTGCATGCTATCATGATGCTGTCCACATATCGTGGACTTCTAGACCAATACAACTAGAATGAGAGGGCTGATCTTTTGTGAATGCTGACAATTTGCCAGACTTTTTGCATTTAACTTAAGTTTCACCTAATTCGTTTAATTTCATTAGAAAGCCATTTACTTTTATCGTACCCTCTAAGGATGTTTTCATTACCTTTAAGTTATTATTAAAGAAATCAAGCTTTGAAGAAGTTAAAGACAAAAGTAAAAGTTCACAACAAGTGATGGAGTCAAGATAAAAGCACACCTATCTGACTCATCACCTGCCTCTGAACTACTCTGCTACATGCTCAATGGCTTTCAGTCCACTACTCCCAGAGAAAACGGTATGACTGGGGAATCTCAGCTCCCATTATCTCCCATTGGTTCTCCAGCCAGCCTCTGGGACGCAACCATTCAATTCACTAACCAACGGACAACTCCAAGCTCTTTCCAGAGGATGGGGAAAACCATCTTCCCAGAGATCAAACAATCCAGGTCAACAATGATTAGAACAGATTTGACCCCTTCAGACACTCAAAGGGACAAAATGATTCCCAAATCAAAGCAGAAAAAAACAAAGAACTTCTTCCTCTGAACTTACATAGAACTTTGCATATTCCTCAATTCCAGCCTAGGTTGGGTTGCTAAAAGACAATGCTACACGGACTGTCTCTCAGCCTCTCCTTTTTCCACCCTAGGTGTTCGTTTTGTACCTGAGACATACTCAAAACAAGCAAACAAACAAGCTCACTGGCATCAAGGAACTTAATGCCAACTCCTAAAGGCCCTAGAGGACAGGGTAGAACTGCCCCTGTGTCTCCCAGACTAACTCTTTACCCGAACAGAAAGCCTCGGTCTTCTCTGGAGGAGAGGCTGGTGGTTTCAAACGGCTGACCTTGCAGTTAACAGCCGAATGCATAAGCACTATGCCACCAAGGCTCCCTTGAGAGGTACCCAGTGCCTACTGAATGGACAGAAATCTGTACTTGTCTGAAAATACAAGAAAACTATAGTGTGATCAAGGTATTCCCATAGCTAAAGAAAAAGTATCACCATGAAAAGGGTGGCTTCATGAGGTCTTTAAAGGGGACAGGATGAGGGTAAGGGGCAACTAATTAATGCTGCTGTTTAAGGGAATGATAATGCTACCTTCCAACTCCAGTCCCGGGGTTGCTTTGTCTGACCGATGTCTCCATTGGAGATGCTACAACCCATTAGTATCGCTTGATGATACTGGCCATTGAGATCACAGAACTTGCTTTTTCTGATTTCAAGCTCACAAAGAAACTGTTTGGATATAATAACTTCCTGCATGATGTTCTTATGGGGCAACAGCGCATGAGCCGGGAGATGCAGGAATCAGTTGGTGGAGCTGTGTCTCGTGTTCAGGCGTCCGTCTGGCACCCTAGAGAATCTGTATCTTGGGTGGGTTGATCCGCGTGGCGGCTTCTTCAGAGAGCTCGGCTTCCCTGGAGAGCAGGCAGGTCTGGGTCTGGCCTGACCTGCACCCAGCAGACCGCACACTATGGTGACAACAGGACGGCCAGCCTCCTTGCCTGCCCGACAAACTGTCACAAATCTTCCACATTCGAGGTCGTTCAGAGCAACTTCAACCAGGGTTTCCTCCCAGATCTAACAAGCTGCCTTTTACAAGAGGGACTGAAAGCTTTCAGAAGTAGGAGTGGAGTTCTTTGAAACGCTGATAGTCCACCAGGTGGTTAAAAGCTTTCGTTTGACTTCCAGCACTTCCCTCAAGTCCTCGAGCAATTCCGATCTTTTAACTTTGCCTATCTAACTGTGTCAGTTCATGTATACTTTCTCATCTTCATTTGTAAGTAAAATAAAGCAACACAAAGGTGATCCCCGGAAATTGGAAGGAAACAGCAAGAAGGACCGGTCAGAACCCACCACACCTCACCTGTCCCTGGGCATGCTGCAACCTCAGTCCTTCTGACGTCCTTGGAACCCCCGGGCTCGGAGCCAGGGTTCCTCAAACCCTACCTTCCTCGCCATCACACACACACACACACACACACACATAAACACACACTCATATACACACACACTCATACACACACACACACACATAATACACATCTTTTCTGGGTTGTTTTCTGTTGCTGTTGGTGGCGGATTTTTGCCTCAGTTCAGCTCTCATCTCTTTTTCTAGCACCAAAGATGTGGTGGGTACTCAAGTTTTCTCTCTTCCTCTCTGACTGCATAGGGATCGGTTTTTAATCAGCTCCATACCCTGGTGGCACGATGTCTTACATGGTGGGCTGGTAGACACGAGGCTGGCAGTTCGACACCCTCAGCCAATCCACGGGGAAGAAGACGCTTTCTACTCCCTAAGAAGTGGCCGTCTCTGACCCCCACAGGGGCAGTTCAACCTTGTCCTATGGGGACACAGTGAGTTGGAATCCACTCGATGGCCATGAGCTTGGTTTGGGTCTTTGGTGACTGAAGCAGAGTAAATTCAATATTTTGCAACTACTGCAAAACAACGTTCAATTTAACTCACTAATGCACGCAGGTGAGACGATTGAATTTGGGCCACTGGATCTGAAGGATTTTTGTTTCTTTCGAGTAATTTGTCACCTTAAATATGTTCACCTTCATGCATTTCTACCTTCTGAGTCATCTCTTTAGGCCATCGCTGCACAGCCAACACCCGTGAGAATGCACCTCTTCACGCGTGGAGCTTGCTCTCTATCAAGCTCATCACACACAGAAAAACAAGGTAGGCTTCCTTTCTTTGAACAAACTATTAAACTTACTTGTAATGCTAATGTGGATCTAAGAGAAGAAACATTGATATGAAAATAAAGCAAAAATAGGAAAGGCGAGTAGAAGGAAGGAGATCACAAAAGGCTATATCAACTGACACGTTAATTCTTGAGCTATGCAGAAAATCAGCCAGGAGAATCAAACATTTACTGATAGCTTCCCATCTGGCTAGAATTACCTTTAAATATTATAGGGAAAACATCAAGAGAAATCATCCTGAATCAAAGAATCTGCAAATCAGACAGTTTGAGTGAGATCATGGATTCGCCTTACTCCTGACTGGCAAAATATTATTCCACTGTTTCTCTTGAACATCTAAAAGTACCATCGATTTTACAATGTGCCTGAAGATAAATTTTTTAAGGATAAAATGCTGCAAAAATATGCTGCAACATGTTACTATGCTTTTGTTCTGGAAAGAGAACTAAAATAAATGCTTGACTTACCAGGAGACCATCAAGTCTCAGGGCCAAGAGCATATATTGTAACTCTACACAGACTGAATTGTGACTTAGTATTAGAAGAACAAAGACCTGTTTTGGTCCTAGATATCAAGTCTAGGAAGGAGAGTCACAATTTTAAAAAGCCAAGAGGCCAAGGAAATACATATAAAATAGAATAGACACTAGAAGATAAAAACAATATCATTTGATTGGAAAATATTCCTTGGACTGGCTGAATATATCCAGCAGCTCCTTGGTAACCAACAACCACTTAGCATCATCTACCATCTTGCAATCTTGGTGGAAACAGCTGCAATTTAAAAAGGACTCTCTCTGCCCAACAGTTATTTCCAGAGGCAGCAAGTGTCTGGAGGTCGCATGCACCTGTTCTTATTCTCTCCCCTCAAATGTCCTGGTGGACTGATGAGTGCAACGAAAACCAAACCAAACTCACTGCCATCGAGTCAATGCTGACTCCCAGTGACCCCTGTGGATGTCTGAGACTGCAACTGTTTACAGGAGTAGAAAGCCCAGTCTTTCTCCCCCAGAGCTGCTGTGGTTTCAAACTGCCGACCACGCAGATCACAGCCCAACACGGGACCATCAAAAGAAATAAATTAGTAGATGTTATGTCTCATTAAGAGAATCCAAAACAAGAATATTTCTCAGAAACTCAGGCATCCCTTTGTCTATAGTACATGATCTTCTATCATAAAGGAGGCAAGCACTGAAAAAGCTAGGAGCTAAACTGGTAAAGTGTTTTTATAAGGGGAACACATTTTTTATTCACTGCAAATTGGTTTTACTAGCTTAATGTGAATATGTACAACTTAAGAGTGGTACAGAGTAAATAGAAAATGTCATGTGCACATAGTTGCTTAGGAATATATATGTGTGCATACATGAAAAAGGTGATATGTATGACATAGAGTGTGTCTCAGACTGCTTCATCTACAACTCAGTACACCAAAACAATGTTAATAAATTCCATTAATTTGTTACTAGTACCTGACACCACTGAACAAATTTGGAAACGACCTAGAACAGCAGTTGTATTATAAGATCAAATAGCTCCCCACTGAATTGTTGGCTGTGTCTCTGTGTTGTTGTTTCTGTGGCTAGGGGCCATCAAGTCAGTTCCAGCTCATAGCAACCCCGTGTACAACCGAACTAAACATCACCTGGCCCGGCCCTTCCTGACACTGTTGTCATGTTTGAGCCCCTCTAGGCAGCCACCGTGTCAACCCATCTTGTCAAGGGTCTTACACTTTTTCACTGCCCCTCCACTTTACCAAGCATGGCGTCCTTCTCCAAGGACCACATGCCCCAAGTACCTGGAACAAACTCTTGCCATATTTGCTTCTAAAGAGCATTCTGACTGTATTTCTTCCAAGACAGATGTTTGTTCTTTCGACAGGCTGTGATACTTTCAATATTCTTCACCAGCACCATAATTCAAGCGCATCAATTCTTCTTCAGACTTCCTTATTCAATGTCCAATTGTCATATGCATATGAGGTGATTAAAAACACCATGTCTTTGGACAGACCCACTTTAGTCCTCAAAGTAAATCCTTGCTCATCAACACTTTAAAGCGGGCTTGTGAAGCATATTCACTCAATCCAATGTGCAGTTCCATCTCTTGACCACTGCTCCCATGATCATTGACCGTGAGTCCTTGAATAGAGGAAATCGTTGACCGCTTCCATCTTTCCTCCCTTTATCATGATGGTATCCACTAGTCCAGTTTTGAGGATTTTGATTTTCTTTACGTAGAGTTGTAATCTATACTGAAGGCTGCAACACTTGATCTTCATCTCCAAGTGCCTCAAGTCCTCCTCACTTTCAGCAAGCAGAGTTGTGTCCTCTGCATATTGCAGGTTGTTAATCAGCCTTCCTCCCATCCTGAGGCCACATTTCTCCTTCATATAAGCCAGCTCCTCTGGTTGCTCAGCACACAGACTGAATAATGGTGAGAAGATACAACCCTGACTCACACCTTTCCTGATTTATACCATGCAGTATTCACTTGTTCTGTTCGTATGACTGCCACTTGACCCGTGTACAGGCCCTGCATGAACTCCATGAAGTGTTCTAGAATTTCCTTTTTTTTCTCAAGGCTATCCATAGTTTGTTATGATCCACACAGTTGAATGCCTTTGCATAGTCAATGAAACACAAATAAAAATCTTTCTGATATTCTCTGCTTTTGTTCCAAGTCCTCTTCTGAATTTGGTCTGAACCTCTGGCAGGTTCCTGTCAATATACTGCTGCAACCATCATTGCATGATTTTTGGCAAGATTTTATCTTGCCTATGATATTAATAATACTGTTCTATAATTTGTGTATCCTATTGAGTCACTTTTCTTTGGAATGGGTACAAATATGAATCTCTTCCAGTCAGTTAGCCAAGTAGCTGTCTTCCAAATTTCCTGTCCTAGACAAGTGAGTTGAAATATTTGTTTGGTGTCCTATCAATTCCTGGAGCCTTGTTTTTTGGCGTATGTTTTTGGTGCAACTTGAATTTCTTCCTTCAACACCATTGGTTCTTGCTCACATGCTACCACCTGAAATGGTGGACTATTGATCAGAGCATTTTGGTACAGTGATTTGGTGTATTTCTCCCCTCTTCTTTTGATACTTCCTGCATCATTTAATATTTTGCCCATGCAATCTTTCAGTATTGC